AGCTTGTAACACTCCAAAGAGAAAGGAAAACTTGAAATCGCATCATATGACCCCTTTAAGTTCGTCCATCCTACACACACGTGACTGACCGCTCGCTCACACCAACAGGAGGAGGGTCGTGTTACTCTCTACACTGCACTTAACCTGAGGGACTCCTACACTTTCAGTCTTTGAGGAGACACGAAAAACAGCGCATACCGCAGGAACGGTATAACGGAAAATATTAGCGATTTTCAAATCGTGGTATACCTAGAAACCGGTAATCGGCCCATGCCTAGAGTAGGGATGCAGCGATTAACCAGTTTCGCGATTAACCGCACTTTAAAACGTCACGGTTAATTAATCGTAAAGGTTCCGCTAAACCGAGTGTTTCTGTTCCACGGAACGGAACTGTTGCAGCTTACGCAAAACGAAAACAAAGTTACACTAGCGGTGCACCAGCTTAAAATGACGTGCTTATCAGAGGCACGGAGGCTACTACATGCAATAGATTAACTGTGACAGAGGAACCAAACAGCGAAGCTTTATTTCCACCAGAGAAATGCCTGTCGATAGTGTGGGACCATTTTGGGTACACCAAGAATGACCAGGGTGCCATTTAAATATTGCTGTAAAAAACTGCTGCTAAAGAGCAAATACATAAGGGATGATGCACGGCTAGCTGTACATTGAACGATTTTAATGCACGACGTGAAGGTCCTCCTGAATGTTTGTACACGTGCGCAGCGCGATCTCCGATCTCACAAACCAAAATAATAGGCATGATTTTCTTAGGCCACATGTAAAATCATATGAATTATTATAAAGATTATTAAAATGAATACGTATGGATGACAGTTGATTACAATAATATTTCAGTTTATTTCCATCATTAGTAACAGTTTCCCCTGTGGGACAAATAAAGTTAATATTAGTCGTATATTAATAATAGGCTACTTCATTAACTTTATTTACTATCCCTGTTTTAGTATTATTCATAAGTAAAAACCAACAAGATTTTTTTTTTCACCATGTTTCCAAATTCTCTACCCAAGGTCGAAAAGAAATGTAAAGAATGTACAAACTGAAAACATTAAATACTTTTGTGATCTATTTCCATTTGTTATTTTCAAAAGAGAAATACTGTCATGGATGTTTACAGAGCAGAGGTCACCTTTTTTTAATTTCAATGGGAGAGATGGACTTTTGTTTGTCTTTTGTTTATTATTATTTTGTGCTGTATTGTTGGTTACTGTGTTATTTCTGTTTCAAAAGCCAGCAATAAATAACATTTTAATATCTAAAAAGTGTTCATGTGATTTTATACATTAGTAATGTTGGGAAATGAATAAATGCATAATAATCGTAAAACCGTGATTATTCCTCAGACAATAACCGTACCCACAAAATCTATAATCGTTGCATCCCCTAGCCTAGAGACCACTATGCGTTATTGGCAGCGCCACACTCTGGTTACATGAACGCGTCACCACCGCATCAGCACCGAAAACATGGGGATTTTTTTTAGACTATAATCGCACAGCCTATTCTATAATTAAATCAACTAATCGAATATTCGAAAATCATGACGCATCCCTAGTTTAAAACTACAGAGTACAGACAAAATGTGTTATAAATTTCAGACACTTCCAAATGGGTTTGTACTGTAGGAAAACGCAGAGATAACAGTCTCAATAATATTAAAACAACATTTACTGCTACATTAATCAAATATCACCACTATTAAAATTATACAGCATACCTGTCAGAAAAGTAACATGTCTGTACATTCAGTTTAATTGTATCTGACTCCATTAAGCTATAAATGTAACTGACATAGCTAATGTACGGATCCCCAAATTATAAAAATTCAAACAAGGAAACAAATTAGTACAACAGACCACAATTTAATTGAAATGAAGGATCAGATTAATAAATTGAGGGGACAGATTCTTAATTTGTGGCCACAATATCAATTTTTTTTCTTGTGCAAATCATGTACTAGGTTAATAATTAGGGGTGCTCCGATTAATCGGCTACCGATCACAATCGGCAGTTTTAAAAACGCCGATCTCATAAAACCGATCTCAAGCTGATGACGTGCCTACCGTCACGTGAGAGGTTTGGCATGACATGCAGCGGCGCCGTTCTAAGTCTCTGTCCGGCGCGGGTGAAATAATTATAATGCTTTAAGTGAGGTACAATTCATATTTCTTCATTAAATAATTATAAAGTAATTTGAAAAACTTTCTGAGAGACATAATTTCACAAACAGCATGAGTGAATCACCGCGCGCGCTCTCTTTCTCTATCAAAATGCAAATGTCTTCAAATCTTTAAAAACGCCGATCTCATAAAACCGATCTCAAGCTGATGACGTGCCTGCCGTCACGTGAGAGGTTTGGCACGACATGCAGCGGCGCCGTCTCAGTCTCAGTCTCTGTCCGGCGCTGGTGAAATAATTATAATGCTTTAGGTGAGGTACAATTCATATTTCTTCATTAAATAACGGATTAAAGCGTTCACACTGCACACACGGTTGCGGTCTGGCAGTGTGTTTAGGAGCGGTGCGTCTGCAGCAGCGCAGAGATCGTTTCGGCACCGAGTCTATTTTTGCTGCGCCTCACGCACTGAATTAAAGTTACAGCGCATTGTTTGTGGTAAATATTATCATGCATTGACACAAAAATGTAGTAATAATTACACCATAAATGCATATAATTAAAGTCTACGGTGTTTCACAGTCAACACATAGGCTATGGCTTTTTGGCTAGGTTTAAAGGAAAAGAGCACTTTTAGATAAACAAGGCAATAATTTTAAAGTTCTCAATTAAAGTTCTTTATGAACGGCAGTATTGCTTGTAATAAAGTATAAATTTAAATGCAAAAGAAAAGGCAGTAGAGCTGACTGTTTCTGTCAATGGTCAGTTTTTAATTTAGAATGTTTGTGATAACGTAAGAAAAGTAGTTTAAATGTTTTGCTTTAGCAACTTAATATATAAATCTAGAAGTAAATGCAAAAGTAAAAAGCATTGAATAATTGATGAAAGATTGTATTAATGTACTGTGTAAAAAAAGAATCACAATATCGAAAAAGCCTTTAAAGTAACAATGTTTGGATTTAAAATCAAAATAATGGATAAATGTTGTGTTTGTGGTAAACAGCCACAGATCAGGAGCAGACTCTTGTGTGAAAGCACAGTCCGTGCTGCTTCTGTACCACACATATGGACTACATACGCACTGCAAACGGAGTATGAGTGAACTTCACATACAGCTCACAAAATCAGGCTTGCGCAGTGTAAGCAATTGTGCAACAATAACACGATTGTAAAAACAAAAATACAGTGCATGATCAAACATTTAGGTGAGATGAATATAGATTTTTTTTAAATGTCTACAAAATGCCCCCATCCACCCCTCAAATGAAAAAAAAAAAATCCTCTCAAGAGTCACCTAAGAGAAGAATTCATTTTCAAAAATGAAATTCAGGCCCTGAATAAATGTCTAAAAATCTTGATTGGATCATCACTATAAATAAATACTATAAGTAAATAAATGAATAAATGCACTGACTGTCTCTTGGGGGTGTGAGAAAGTGCACTGTAGGAGAGTAAAGGCTTCGAGCAGCAGGATTCAATGAGGAATGTCTTTCCCGAAGGTGACGGACTGGGGTCTTGAAATCTGACTCTAAAAACACAATGGTGAGCATGATACCTTTTAAATACCATATCATCATTAAAGGGTTAGTTCACCCAAAAATGAAAATTAGGCTGCGTTTTACTCACCCCCGAGGCATCCTAGGTGTATATGACTTTCTTCTTTCAGACGAATCCAGTCGCTGGGTGAACTAACCCTTTTATAGACTCTTAAATAATGTTTGTCAAATTAAATAATGTACCTTTATTGTCAACAGTTGATAAAGGTTTCCTCCTCCTTCGTGGACGTTTGGCTACTGTTGGGACCTCATCAGCATCCAGATTCAAGCAGTCTTGAAGAACTTTTACTTCATCCTAAAGCAAGGGCAAAGAAGGCAGGCAGTTAATTATTTATTTATTTATTTATGTTTTAACGCCATTTCAGCAACAATGGCTATATTCATGGCAACATTAACATGTAATATCATTTCAATACATCAATTACAATCATATAACATTTTCTTAAGAAACAATCATTATACAAGAAACAACAATAGTACTGATAAAAATCATATACAATCTTTCAGTTTAATCAGTGATCAAAATTCTAAAATTCTTCCAGGAGAGACTTAAAAAAATTACTTTTAGTATATTTTCTGAATAATATCGTTGTCTAATATCATTTAAAATTGGACATTCTATTAAAATATGTTTTACACTCAAAAGATTCTTACACAAGTCACAGACTGGTTTCAGGCAGTTACTAAACCAAAGAAATTAAACACAGTATTTTGATATAAATAAGTGCAAAAAATAAAAATAAAACTTCAAATAAATGCCTACTTTCGGATATCTTACAAAGAATATCTTAATTAATTTACTTTGTGCTTTAATAAACAATAATAACTACAAGATCCATGTGCTTCTTCAGCGACAATACACAGAGAAACTGATTGGCTTCACAAATGCCATTCAAAAACACTAAAAATCTTATTGGCCACACGGCGAGAATTGGGCCCGCCCATAAACAGCATTACGACACTTACCAGAAATACATTAATTACAAATTATTATTATTCATATGAACAACAATATATATTTCATGATGATTAATGATATTTTGATTAAAATTTATATAGCAAAATTGTTTAATTCCGCTCACCGGATCTCTTGCTTTAAATCGGTTAGCATCATGCTAACGAGGCCTGTGCAGATCATTCACACAACACGGAATCACATGCTCAATCACACCAAACACAGACAAGTTTTGTTTGCTTTTCATATGTAGTGTTCATGACAGCAAGACTGACCTGGGTCTGGACCTGCGGGGTCTGCGGTCCCGGTGTCTCCGGAGCGGCTCGACGGCGGCGGCGGGACGGTGTCGTCGGGTTTTCATTTAAAATATTTCTCGAGCGAAGTCTCATTTTGCTGGAGCCCCGATTAAAAGACGTCTTCTTCTTCTTCTTCTAATAACGTTTTATGGCGGATGGCAAACCAACTTCTGGTGCATTTACCGCCACCAACTGGACTGGAGTGTGGAGCACTAATAAGCAACTAATATATACATATTTATATTTATCTATATTTTATATAATAAAAAATAAAAAAAACACACATTCCTAAATTCAAAGACGTCTTCAACGGACATAGGGACTTTAAACTCTCAGGAATAATGTAGTAATGTTAGTTCAAGCGTCGCGTTAATCTCCATGAATTCGGTCAATTAGTTTAGTCTCGGCGTTTCCACACTGACTTCTTCTTCTTCTTCTCTCGAGTTTTTTGGCGGATTGGCAAACCAACGTTAAAGGTGCATGTCCGCCACCTACTGGTCTGGAGTGTGAAACGTACATGGTCAGCTATGAATTATTCAACTGTTATAGATTAAATAATAATAATAATAAAATAAACCAAACCAAAATTTTTACATAAATAAAAATTCAGAAGTATATACAGATACATGATCAGAAACTCTCAATTCTCAATCTTTTTAATCCAAGTTTTATTTGCAGAAGTATACACCATACAACCATAATCAATGTTGGCTCTTATTGCTGCTTTATATATTCTTTCCATTGATTGACGCCAAGCCCCCCATTCAACTCCAGATAAGCATCTTAATATGTTTATCCCTTTCTTACAAAACATTTCGCCCCCTAAACCACATAACGCTCCATCTGCATATGCATACAATATGCATACAATGACCTGTTCACACCAACGTCAATATTAGAAAAAATGTCATTTATCATTAAGTTCAAAAGAATAGGACTACTTACACTACCTTGAGGAGTTCCGTCCTCTATTGGAAGAACCCGAGAGTATGCAGAACCCACTCTCACTTGTATTGTTCTTCCAAACAAAAAGTTCAATATCCAGTTATACATTTGACCTTTAATTCCCATACTGTCCAATTTCAATAAAAACCCTCCTTCCACAACATATCATATGCCTTTTCAATATCGAAAAAGAAATTCCTTCTTAACTTGAGCCGTCCTAATTTCATTTTCCAAACATAAAACTGAATCCATGGTGTTTCTCCCTTTCCGAAATCCACTCTGATATGCAGGAAACAGGTTCTTGCTCTCAATAACATATGGCAATCTATTCATAACCATTCATTCCATAAGTTCGCAAATATTGGAAGTCAGAGATATTGGTCTATAATTGATAGTCTGAGATTGATCTTTTCCTGGTTTGGCGATCGGCACCACAACCCCGTGCTTCCATGCATCAGGCAACTTCCCTGTTTCCCAAACCATATTAAAGAGTCCTAATATCATATTTAATGACACATCCGATAAATGTTTAATCATCTCATAACAAATATCATCTTTACCAGAAGTCGTCTGTTTAATCCCCACCAATGCTCTTTTCATCTCATACAATGTGAAATCTGAATCTAGTGTGCCTCCATCTGGATTCTTTTTTTACAAATATCTGAGCATTATCCATCACACACTGTTCCCTGTACTTCCTCATATCCTCTGATATATTCGCATTGCTATGAACCTTAACAAATGTCTCCACTAATATTTCAGCTTTATCACTATCAGTTACTGCAATATTGTTGTTGTCAACTAACACCGGAATGCTAGTATTCCTCTGAATTCCTCCCATTTTCCTGATCATACCCCACAGTTCATTCATTTCAATTTCTACCCCAATTTTATTACAAAACTCTCTCCAATAATTTTTCTTTGCTCTTCTAATTTCTCTCCTCACCATTGCCTGAGCTCTTTTATAATTAATAAAATCAGTGAACACTAGCGATTTTCTTGCTTTCCTAAGGGCTTTATTTCTGTTACAAACTAATTCACTACATTTTTCATTCCACCATGGGACCGCTTTTCCACACTGACCGACCTCAGTTTATACTGATGAAAAAAACACAACCGAGCTTTAGCCAATCAGAACACGCGCTCGATGCGGCAGGCGGAGCTTCAAAGAACAACGGCGCAACGTGACGCGGAAGTCACATTGACAGTGTGTTTACAGTTATTAAAGCACCAATAATGGCAATTAATAATAATGGCAGCATTGTTTGACTGCAAAAATACGTAATTTATTCATGTCAAATTAGGGCGACAAAAAACTGCTCATTGTATGGTATTCTAATTTTCAGTGAAAGGTCTTTAATAGGCTACAACACGTGACAATGCTAGGTTTCTAACAGCACTGAGAAATGTCCAGAAACTGGATCTATTTTCCTCTTTTCCGCAATACAACGTTTTCAGTTGGACAGCTTTGTAGAGATGAATTAGTCATTCAGCCATGATTACCACATTAAATGCTCAACTTTCTTAATAGAATATGGAACACAGTTGAGTTTTTTTTTTTTTTTCAGTGAACAATCCCAGATATGGGTACTTGAGAACTAACTATTCCAAAAATTATATATTAAATATATATTTTTTTTGCTGTACTGTTGGCCATATTATCTCAAATAGGGTCAAATTCATGCTCATTTGCATATACTAAGTGTTTTCTTAATATTTCAACAAAAAGTTTGCAATTATGACAAAATTCTGTAGGGTCTGTTACATTTGATATAATTTAAAAAATGCATATAAGTGCAGACAGGTACAATATAAAAATCGTACTTTTTAATGTGCATTTTAATATAGCAGTTTCATTTTGTTTAAAAAAAACCCTCTAAAAGTTCACTTTCTGAACAAAAACACTATTGTGTTGACATGTTTTTATAGAGTTTTACTAAAATCTTAAAACTGAAATTAATCTAGAACCCTAACAACATTTCATCAGAATTACATTTTATTGTATTCAATGTCTGTTTACAGCTGAAGATCTCCATTTTTGAAAAATCAAACATTGAAATATCTGATGCTTGACAATTATAAAATGTAAACGTCGAGAGTACATTTAGCAAACTCTGAAACAACAAAACTCATCAACATGAACTTTCTTTTTTTTTTTAAACAGGGCAATAATGTACTGAACGCAACAGAAAACAGACACACCCAAACTGAAGCTCTGGAATTACCTTTACATTACGACATATAAACAGGCAAATAACTTCGGTTAAATAAGAAAAATTCAATTCCATCTAATAACTACATTTGTTATGAACGTATGTTGAGGTGTTCTTGTGTCATTGTTTGGGTTACCAGCATTCAGACTAAGAGAGGTACAGTTGATGTTTGATGATTTCCCAAAATATAGGTTATAGAGTATTTTGAATCCATAATATTCTGGCCATCACAGCATTTATGTGACATTCTTTGGATCCCAAAGGGATAATTAGATAAAAAATACAAATAAAAAATACATAAACTTGCAATTAATAATCCTTGAGTCATTGTGCCAAGGGAAACATTTAGCATTACTATTAGGGTAAAACAAATGTTACATGCACTGTGACCGCAGCTTTATGATGAACGTATCTGTATAACTAGAGGTAGAAGTGTATTTCCTGAGAACACAACAAATGCCTTATAACGTAAAACCTAAATTTCACAGCTATGTATTGGAAAAGTGAATTAACTTGATTTAGTGTAACGTTAAGATCTGCAGAGACAAAAGCAAGCAAAGAATTATCAAAGAATAAGGCATCCTGCAATAATAGAGAAGGTTTATTGTACAGCAATTTTGGTTGTCCTTGCAATAAAGTTGACTACGTTAGCATGCTATATTAAAATTTGCATACATTAAGGCATACATCAGAGTTAAAACAGACTTAATATCCCTATTATGGATACGAACAGCTTTAAATGGGTGTTATGTGTATCTGTCTTAATCCTTGTGGTAACAGTATTGTTTCCTAGACCAAAAAAAACAAAAAAACAACAACACTGCGTAAAGATCTACTCTTATTTGAATGTGTCACTTAAAAGTTGAGGGATTTGACTCTAAAATGCAGGCCGGCAGATTAAAAAAAATGCAAAAAAGATTTCCTTTAAAGGAATAGTTCAACCAAAAATGAAAATGTGATGTTTATCTGCTTACCCCCAGGGCATCCAAGATGTAGGTGACTTTGTTTCTTCAGTACATTCAAAGTAAACGAGAGGCGTTGACGTCGACGCCCCATATGAATGGGAGGACACGCCGCCGCTCAGGACAGTTTGAACAGTTCGGACATTGCGTGAATCAGAGGTAAAAAACAATATAAATACTGTTCAGTTTCTTGCACAGACCGATCGTTTCGTGTCTTTACACATCAATGTATCGTCACGAGCCGCAGGGTTTAATTTGGTTTTGTTTGTGT